ATTCGGACATATTTAGGATAGAATAAAAAATTTATTATTAATAATAATTTATTATTATTAGTGTTTATTTTTTAATGTCTCATTTTTATTTTACTAAATGAACTAATTTAATATCAATGTAAAAAATGTCTCTAATTTAAATCATTTGCATACTTAATTTATTATTAAAGTACAAATATATACAAAAACAAGCATAATGTTCTTGATGTTTAGCAGTTATGTGTTTGTCAAATGATATTTAAAAACTGCATTGTTTATGTAGTATCATAACGTAAATTTAAATTATTTACATGGTCATATTAGAACATGTTGTAATAATTAATAAGTAATTTGAAATGAAAAAAATTGAAATATATTATATTCATTTCTTAATGTAAACAACCATTAAAAAGTCATTTGAAAACATTTAAAAAAAGTTATTTGAAACATTAACAAAAACATGCAATATTTACATATAATTTAAAAGTAATTTTAAAATAATATTCTACATTTATAATTAAAACAAATGTACGCATATTCTTTGTAAATATTTATCCTATGTGAGTTAATATGGAAATATTCCCTGACCTAATTTTAAGAGAAGTGCGGCTGTTCATCGAAAACACGATACAATGCGAAGCAACGGTCATTCTGAGTGATTCACCTCAGTCCTCGACCCCCTATGTCTGATTTTTCTTTCTCTCTCTCCCCATCTCCCATGACATCATAGCACTCCAACCCTTAGTTGGACAAATCCAATTACCAATTAATTACATCAAGACATTCTTAATTAGTTTAGGTTTAAACCACGTTCATTTTTATCTTTTTCGCGTTAAGATAAATAAATAAAACCAGAATTAATGACTTATTATGCTAAGTTTATATAAATTTATTTCACGTTCTACTTTCTAATCATCAGTTTTTTAAAACTAGTTATTAAATAATGTTAGTAGAAAAATGAATAATTATGGATACTTATGTCACAGATATTTCGGGTTTCTTTTCTTTTGTTTTTGTATACAAAAACGAAATGCCATATCGCTTTACTAATTATCATAACTATTAACTTCCTCTTGTATATAAAACTTTTTTTGAAAATGGAAAGAGGAACTGTTTTTGAGCATTTTAATTTATAATAAGAATAAGAATTTTTTTAGGAGTTAGAAGTATTTGTTAAAGTAAGGGAATAGATTATTTTACGATACTTGAATATCAATATTTAATTGTAATTATTTTAATTTACTTCTAAACTTAGTATTATTCAAAAGAAAACACTTTACCTATTTGCCTCTTTAGCAAGTATTTCGGTTGCATCAACATTCTTAAAATGCCTTATTTTGAAATTCCTAATATGCATATTGCATCACTCTATTAAAATAAACTTTCTAATTTCAAAAGTTAAAGAAAGGGAATAAACTGAATTATTGAAAGGGAATAAACTGAATTATTATTTGTTTAATAATTGTTTCAATTTTTTTGTACCAAGAAAGGGTCTGCGAAATATTTACAAAATAAAAGACAAATATATAATAAAATATAACATCTTGTTAAATCTATCATATCATGAAATATTTCATTTCTTTAATATGAAGAATGATAAATTTGAAATATATTCTTCTTTCCTCTAGACAATAGTGATTGCGAATATATTCTTAAAATTCATATTTTTTGTTGCCAGAACAATTTTACATAGAAGTTTAAAAAATAAAAACGTAAGAGAAAACTAATGTAAAATAAATGCTGTTTCTGAAATAATACTAATATGAAACAAATTATTTCAATACTTTTTTCATAAAATGCAGCAGTTAAAATTTTGAGTTGATCTTGTTATTATTTGAACGAATTTATTTTAGACTAATAATGTTAGCTTTCAAACACAATATTAATATTTCCTAAAACACAGATCTGGTATACATTTTAAAATTATGCACTGAGCACATCTTTATTTCAGATACACCCCCTTATAGCGCGTGCATAGCCAGTGTGTGTTTGTCCATTTTTATTTTACTCCCCCTTTTTCATAATGCTACCCTCATTTAAAATTACAAAAAAATTCTTCATCCTCCAGCCTATTGGCCAACACCCCTGATCCTGTCTAAAGTTTAATCAAAACTCCCCGTACTTTCTCTCTAGTCCTGTTCACACTTCCGAAAGGGTATTTTTTCCGCATTGGGTATTGGTCAGTAAGGAAACGAATCTACAGGATGGTTTCGGATCAAAGTATATTTCCTCAACACCGAAAGGAACGCAGAAAGCGTGTAGAAAACAATAAGTATCAGTGCGTTTGCGGCTGGCGGTAAGAGTTGTGCAGATTAATTTTTTTCTACTCTTAAACGCAAAAAATTTATGTTTTGATAAGATTTTACTAAATGAAAGTTATGTAGTAATGTTTTGGAGCTATCAGACATTACATTCACATTTGTTATGAATTACATGTTAAGACTGTTCTTAGATTAAAATATAGGGAAAACTCAGCATAATTTTTTTTAAAAAGGATATGTTAAAATGAGGTTTTAAAGTGTTTACAACTTAATATAATTTTTTGAACAATATTCTGTGCAAAAATCAGTTTAATATGTTTTATTTCATTCAACTAGGATACATCTTAAGGCTGCTGTCTTCTATTGTTAAAAAGTAAAAAAACTTTGTATCAACTTTTCTATAAGGAACATGGAAAAAAATTGTTTTTAAAATTTTCCCAACTAAAAGAAAAAATTTTATCAAAAAAGGGGCTTAATATATTTTAGCGGATTTGAAGTATCCCTTCTTTTATAAAATCATTTTTTTTTTAAATTTCATTGTTTCTTATAATTTTTAGCATGTTTTTTAAAAAAATAAAACGTGTTTATCACGAAATCTGCTTGGCAATAAATTATTATACAGATAAGTGATGTTAATGGGGGATGATAAGGACTTCTCTTTAATTTAAAATTAGGTAAAAGCATAAAAAAACTAAGTTAAGCTAAGCACTACTCCTAAACTATCATAAAAATATTTTTCTCGTGAAAAATTTCAATGTAGTTCTTTAAATATAATGCAGTAAAAATAAAAACAAGATACCATTGTATTAAAACCATTCTAAAAAGAAGCGTTATTTATAAAAATGATAGCTCAAGAATTTTTTTCTCTAATATTTCATAATGCAAAAATTATATCTGATTTATTTACAAAAATATATGCCGAGAACGTTTTTTATTTTAATTTACCGAAAGAAGTTTTTATGCATTTTTTTAATTTTAAATTAAAACTTATTGACGTTAAATCTCTATTTATAAATAAAATAGTATATTCAAATTATCGCATTATTTCTAATTTGATGCATTAAATGTAGATTTCGTAAGGAGAAAAAAATCCGAACTTTCTTCATTATCAGCTTACAAAATTTCTAAAAATTATTCGGTTCATTTTAACAACATTTTTCCTGACAAATTTGCTTCGACTTAACATTAGATATCAAATTTTTTGATAAAAAATTTATAATACATTAAATTATCATTGCTTTAAAATTACTTTTTCCTTATATTTCTTTTTTTTAAAAAAACTGTTTTGTCATTGAAGTAAATATTTATTTTTAGATTCTTCAATCGTGCTCTTGCTTTTACAGCATTTCCAACAAACTTCCTAGATAGATAACTTATCATTAAATGTTGTAAACAAACCAGTCAATGATAGGAATTCTGAAAATATGAATCCTTAAAATAATTTGAAATGTTGGTAAAATATCATCATTTACTTAAGCATATATCATATGACATTATAATCGAAATTTTTTACATAAATTCAATTTCTAAAGTTCTTGATTATTACTATTGCTTTTAGACTATTATCTTGATTGTTTAT